CTGTTAGAGGTGGTGGTAAAATAACTTCACTGTGGAAACGGACACCTCTTATGACCTGTGTACATAATCAGAGGCTGACAGTGAAACAGACACCATGAACTGTATTAAGACTGACAAGGAGACCTGTCATTACCTTCGTATTCAGGCTGTGTCCTCCATAATGTGACAATACCGCCCTCTACTGTTCTCTCCTGTCCTTATTTGTCCCCATTACACATAACCCTCATGATGTAAATTCCCCATTTTAAAGGGCATAAGAAGAGCAAAACAATCACTTTACAGAGCAAAGTCTGAAACTGGGACACCATTACATTTCCCATGAACATGCTGCTGCTAACCATCCAGTCCACCCACACCAGGTTTCCCTGAGTTCAGAGTGTACCAAGGCCCTGATGAAGCTGGTTTACTGCCCCCACTGCCGTGGTCTGGCCTCTGTCAAACCCTGCTCCAGCTACTGCTATAACGTCATGAAGGGGTGCCTGGCCAACCAAGCCGACCTGGACCCAGAGTGGCAAAACCTCATAGGTAAGATTCAGACAAAAATACTGTAGATGTTCTTATTAGATAGTCTGAGTGGATCCCAGGAAGAAACACTGGTCCTCATAATACAGTCCTTTGTGTTTAGTCCAGGGTCACCGAAACCTTTGCTCACAGTATGTTCCTTGTCCTGCTCTTATTTTGTTTGCCTAAGCGACTGCCATCGACTTCATAAAATCCACAGTAAAGCCCATATTACTCTCCACCCCATCCCTCCTGCTAAAATGTTCTCTTATGAGGCCCACTAAGTGCAAGCTCAGATGAAAATGCAGCTACAAGTGAAAAGGGGAGCATTAATATAGACTTGCACAACCACACATGCATTTGAATGTCAAGCTCAAAATGAATCATCCACACCTGATCCATGCAAAGCTTTGATTAATTCATCAATTAGGTTTGACTCAGTATTACTTGTAACAACAATGAAAAGCACTACTATGATTTTGTGGCTTGGGAGCAAAGTAAGTTTTGTTTCCAGAAAAACATACCTGAACAGGGTTGGGCTGACACCAATTTGATCAAATCTTCTCTTCTCCTCCACCCTCCATTCAGACATCATGATCCAGGTGGCATCTAGTTTCAGCACAGAGCCCAG